GCCGCTCGGGGCGCAGCACACCCTGGCAGGGATCGAGCACTCGGTAAGGATCAGCCGATGTGGATCGGGGGGTGGGCGGGCACCGGGCAGGCCGCCGGGAGCTCACAGGGGCTCCCGGGCCCGCGCCCCCCAGGACTCGGTCGGGGCTCTGGGGCAGCTGCGCCCTGGCCGGAGTGGGCGGGTGCGGGCCCTCGCCGGCCCCGCGGGTCCCCGGAGGGGGGCTGCCACGGCTGCCGCGCTCCGGGTCCAGAGCGCTCGTATTTTCCAAGTGCAGCAGACCGTGAATTCACCTTCATACTAGTTACAGGGTTATTTAGCTTCTCCTGACACTGACAATCACCAAACTTTAATTCGCTGCTTGGCTTCTGCCGCCGTGCCCTCTGCCCACCCCCAGAATCCCTGGGAGAGGATGGGGAGACCCGGGCCCGGCCCCTCTTGCCAAGGCTCGGCCTTTGGACTGATGGAGTGGCGGCAGGAGGCGGCGGGGGGGTGGGGGGTGGGCAGAGGCGAAGACAGAGACAGGGCAGGGTGGAGAGGAAGGGGGCACGGGGTCCCCCGGCCAGCCGCTGCTCCCGCCCGATGCAAGTTTTCAACCTGACACCCTCCGCCGCAGGGGAGCGCGGCTGAGCAGGCTGGGGTCTGAGGGTGGGCGCCCCGGCCAGGGCCTTCGGGGCCAGGACTCACTGAGCTCTCAGGACCAGGCCGCTGGCACGCGCTGGCTCCTTCGCCCAGTGCTGGCGGGGCCAGTGTCTGCTCGAGAGCCGGCCCCAAGGCCGTTCTTCCCACCCCGAGTCCGGTCGGATTTTCTCCTGCCTCCGGTGCCAGCCGCTCGCGCTGCCCACGTGACCGCTCTGCCTTGATGGGGCAGGTGGGTCTGCACCGAGGTCCTGGCGCACCCCAGATGGGACACAGAGACTGAGCATGCCCCGTCCCAAACAAGCACCCAAGTCGTACACTTCTGAGTCACCCACAGGAGTGTGCACCCGCTTCTTCCTCCGTGGGAGAGGTCCCTGCTCCCTACTGGCCCCCCCACCCCAGCCCCAGAGGGTCTTGGTCTCCCTCCTCGCTCGCCTACAGCGGTTGCCTCCTTCTGGCCCCTCTGTGCTCCCACATACTTTCTGGGGTGCACCCAGCCTCCAGAAGACCACAGAGGTGTCTGTTGGCTCGGGGGTCAGGCCAGCCCAGAGACCCGAGTTCTCTTAGCCACTTGCCTCTTGAGGCGCTCACCGCTGTCCTCCCCAAGCCCCCAGACCAGCAAGGGAGCAGGGTTCTCGCTGAGAGCCATCTGGTAGAAACAGGAAATGTTCTTAGTCCCAAAATCCATGTTGGTGCCTTGGACTGTGTATCAGGCTGAGGCCCAGAGGGGAGAGCAGGAGAGGGGCCTGTGAAGCCCAGAGGCTGGCAAGGACAGGGGCTGGGAGCTTGAAAAACAGCAGACCCAGGAGGAGGAGAGGCGGAGAGAGGCACCGGTGGGTCTAGCTCATCCCAGCGCCTGGCACTGCCCCACCCTTGCTGGCCAGGGAAGTGGCCTGGGCCAGAGAGATGTCAGTGGGGCCGACGGCAGAGATGGGAGAAGGGGCTTGTTGACTGCAAACTGTCCATTACGGCTCAGATTATAAGCATATTGCACAGGGCTCTCTGCACGATGCCGAGGAAATCCAATACGCTGAAAGGTTAATGCAATCAATTAGGGTGACAAGGAAGTAAAGTAAAGCCTTCGAGTAGATGAAAAGGAGAGAGAGACTGCCACGGGCCGGGGGCGGTGCGTGGAGTGTGGGTGGTGGGAAGGCAAAGAGGAGCGGAGAGAGGCGTGGAGGGAAGCGCACCCGAGGCCGGGGCCTGAGAACAGGGGCCGGTGAGGGAGCCCGGCGCTGGCAGCAGGAGCGGGGCGGGCGCCGACCCGCACTGCCACCCAGCTTCCCCGCCTCCCACCTCCCTGCCTGCCAGCCTTCCCTCTGGGCGTGGAGCCCGGCTCCAGGTCAGCTCCAATCACTGCGTATGTCACCGGAGCCGGTCTGCCCCTGCGCAGAGGGAGTGTCTACCACGTCCCGCTGGGCCCACTCTGCCAGGACTGGGCCTGGCTCCCACCCACACCCCAGGAACAGGCCTCAGTTCTAACCGGAGGCCGCCCTTGGCTTCCCCGTCAGTAGCACCGCGGACACAGCCCTCCGCTGGTCCCTGGTGCCCGTTTCCGACCCACGACAGGCCGGGCAGCAGAGCACATGGCGGCCAGGAGCCCCTTCTGCAGACATGGGCTCCCACGGGGTCATGCAGCCACGGGGGCCACACGGATGTGGACGTGGAGGGCCCAGAACTGAGAACTGAGACACCCGGGCCACCACGTTTCTTCCACAGTGCTCCCCGGCTCCGGAGATGCTCCCCAGCCCTGGAGATGCTCCCCATCACAGGAGGTGCTCCAGGCCCCGGAGGTACTCCCCAGCACAGGAGATGCTCTCCAGCACAGGAGGTGCTCCCCATCACGGGAGGTGCTCCCCAGAACAGGAGGTGCTCCCTGGCCCTGGAGGTACTCCCCAGCACAGGAGGTGCTCCCTGGCCCCAGAGGTACTCCCCAGCACAGGTGGTGCTCCCCAGCACAGGAGGTGCTCCCTGGCCCCGGAGGTGCTCCCCAGCACAGGAGGTGCTCCCTGGCCCCAGAGGTACTCCCCAGCACAGGAGGTGCTCCCCGGCCCAGAAGGTACTCCCCAGCACAGGGGGTACTCCCCAGCACAGGAGGTGCTCCCCATCACAGGAGGTGCTTCCCAGCCCAGAATGTACTCCCCATCACAGGAGGTGCTCCCCGGCACAGGAGATGCTCCCTGGCCCCGGAGATGCTCCCTGGCCCCGGAGGTGCTCTCCAGCACAGGAGTGCTCCCCAGCACTGCAGCCTCACCTGTTCCCAGAAGACACTGGGAGAGCGGGGGTGCAGGGGGGACTCGTGGGGCCTGCCCAGGGGTGGATCTGCCTCCCACGGGCTGTGGGCTCCCACGGGAAGCTGGCTCTGGGAGGCGGAAGTAACGGGGCGCCTCCTTCCTTTCAGGGCCCGGGCTGGACACCATCAGCCCCTCGCTCACTCCCTGGCTCCAAGAACCCCCAAGGAGATGCTCCTCTGCTCTCCTTACAGGAGAGGAAACCGCGCCCGGCAACTTCCTGAGGGCTGCAGAGAGACACGGTTCCCGGAACAACGCTCCGAGGAACACGGCTGCGGGAGGGGCCTGGCGGGACTCTGCACCAGGTGGGACCGAGGGGCGCCAAAGAGATGGCCCGATGACGCCTCGGAGCGACCCGAGCCCGGACCGCAGCGGACTCAGAGCACAGAGCCAGGGTCGCGCCACGCCGGGAGCCCCCTCGCGAGGGCCAATTTCATGCCGTTTTCATTTTATCACTTAAAAAGGAAAAGCAAAGGCCAGAAGCCAGAGCAGGAAGCAGCGGAGGTGTCCGGCACGGCTGGACGGTTGAGCTTTGCAGACCAAACCTGTGAGGTAGCTACTCCGCTCCGCTTCTGCTGAGGGAGAGCTGCCCGACCTAACCGAGTGTGCGCCGATGAAACTTTACTCACAAAAACAGGCCGGGGCCGTTCTGGCCCTCGTGCCCTACCCTGCCTGGCTGCGCCCCCAGCCTTGCTCTGGCGGAGCGCGAAGGCTCGGGCTGACTTTCAGGACCCAGGATGCTGGGCACCACCCCACCTTCTAGGGCAGAAGTACCCGGTCCGCAGGTTGACAAGGAGGCAAGGAAGGGCTGGCGGACGAGTCCGCTTCTCATGACCAGCGGAGGGTGGAGGAGAAGAAGGGGAAGACAGGCAAGCTCCAGCATGGAAACGTGTCCAGGGCCGGCCCGGCCTCCCAGGAGGCCCTGCTCTGGGCTTCCGACGGCCAGGGATGATGCGCAGAGCTCTGAACATTCTCTGTGCCTCGAGGGGTGCAAGTCTGAGAGGGGGACAGGAGTGGGGTGGCGGGCCCCGGCTGGCCAAAGGGACGGCAGGGGAGAGAAAGGCGAGGGGAGAGGCCAGGGGAGCAGAGCTGTAACCAGGGTGGTGCTGGAGGCAAAGGGAGGAATCCACCGGCCCCAGCGAGAGCGCAGGGCGCGGGCCGGGCCTGCCCTACACGGCCGCCTCTGATCACGTTTTCAGGGCCACTGCCCGCCGGCACAGACAATGCTGGGGGAGCCTTTGAAGTCCGAAAGGGATGCCGCGGTGGGAGCCTGGAGAACCTCTCCCCTTCCCCCGTCCTCCCGGGGGGAGGAGCCCGGCAGGACAAAACCCCCAGCCGGTTGCAGCCGGGCGAAATGCGTGAGACAAAGGGAAAACAAACAGGCTCGGAGCCAGGCGCACGGTGCCGTGTCTGTCCCCCGCCCCGCTGCGCTGGGATGATGGATGGCTGCAGCCAGCCAGCTTGCCCGCCCCGCAGGCCCCGCTATTTACATAACACTGGCGTTCCACCGGTCACCTCTGACAGGGCGCTGCCTGGGGCCAGCCCGGTGGCCCCCAGGTTCCTCCAGCCCAGAGGAGAGAGCCCAGACAGTTGTGAAGGGCCAGCTGGGCTGAGGGAGCCCCGGGCCTCGGCTGGGCAGGGCAGCAGCCTGAGCTGGCCTCGGGGCCAGAGGCCGCCTCCCTCCCAGCCTGCCTACGAGGATGAGGGGCAGGCAGGGCCGGAGAACGGGGCTTTTCCTGTCCCTGACAGTTCCCGAGCGCCAGCGACAAGCAGCCCTCGCCCGGCCACAGCAGGCAGGCAGAGCCAGGCCTGGTCCCGCCTGGGGTGGAGCCCTGCACCACAGGTGCCCTGGCCACACGCCACCTATCCCCTGGGGTCCACATGTCCCCAGCTCATGCCCAGCCTAAGAGCCAGGAGGGCCACCTTTAAGGCCGCCAGGCTCAAATGGACAGCAGGACTCCGACGCGGCCGCCACCTCCCCCCGCTGCTCCACACCAGGCCAGGGGCCTCTGTACCCAGTTTAGTGGCCCCCAGTGGGGGCGGGGACGGGGGCAGGGGGGCGCTCAGCCTTACCTTGTAGCGGGTCCTAGAGACTCCTCTCTTGGTAGGGGCGTCACTTCATCCTGGGGAGGGAGGCAGAGGGGGTCCGTTAGCCTTTCAAGCAGGTCGCCTGCAGCTCCCCAGTGCACGCCCCCACATCCTGCAGGTCGGGGTGCCCTGCCGCCGACGGGCCAGGGGCCGACGCTCTGGGGTGGCCCGGGGGTTGCCGTGCAGCCGTGCTGCGTGGGCACTGGCTTGCCCCCTAACCTATGTGGCAACCAATTGTTGCCAAAATTCAGGAAGCAGGAGGGGCTGAGCGTGGGGCTACGGCCCGGGGACACCCCCACTGAGTAGGAGACACCCCCACCGAGCAGGAGAGCAGACCGTGCTCCAGCGCCTGCTGGAGGTAGCGACAGGGGTTTGTGGTGGGGTGCCCCCCGGGGGCTACGCCTGGGAGCCCCCTCCTTTCCTGTCTCCCAGCCCCTGAGAATGACAGGCCAAGCTCTTCACTGCAGCAGGGGGTAACAGGGGCCGTGGCACCCAGAGCCTCAACTTCCAGCAACAGGCTGGGAGTCTGGGGTGCCCTGGGGTCTACATAAGAGTCAGAGTGACCACGGCTGGGGACCCCGCTGGGAGGGGGACCCAGGCCCACAAACACTGGGTCCTCGGTCAGCACACAGCGTGGTCCAGCCTGCCAGCGCCTTGCCAGGGCTGGCCCTCGTGCCCAGGGTGGGTTTGGGGAGCCAGGCTGTTGTGGGCAGTAGCCTTTCGTGGACAGGAAACCCAAGTGCTGGTGGCCTGCTGCCCTGGGCCCCCCCCGGCCTGGCCCCACGTGCCCATGCCCCGCCTCTGAACTGTCCCCACACTGAGGAAGCGCTTTCGGCTTCCCTCTCCTCTCCTTCATTCTGGCTTATCAATGATGCAAACGGAGTAACACCAATTTCCTTAGTCTGTGTAATCCCCAAATCAGATTGGGGGGATTGCGAGAGGTGAGGTGACCTTGTGCAGGGCTCCCTCCACGCCACCCAGTCCCGCCGCCCGCCCTCCCAGGACGCATTTAGACAGATACTGCTAATTGCACTTGACACGCACTCCTAGGGCGGCTGGGTGCTCTGCCAGCTCCCGCCACCGCCGCTGGGCTGCCCGGGGAGCCGGTGCCCACCACGGTGGACCCACCCCAGCAGTCACAGGCTTGGCAGCCACAGAACAACTGGGGGTTGGTCCCGTGGACCTCTGATGCCCGTCTGATCCTGACGGTGAGAACCCCGGGGGTGGGCAGAGGGCTGGGGGCTGAGCCCCGGGCAGCAAAGAGGCAAGGGGAGTCGGGCCCAGGTGGACAAGGGGCAGAGGCTGGAGCCTGGAAAAGGAAGGAAGGCGGAGAGCGGAGCCGGGTGGAGAGGAGACCTAGCAGAGCTGGGCCCCTGGGCATGGGGTGGAGCCCCCAGCCCACCCGCCCAGCCCGCCTCCACCGAGGGCTCACCCTCCAGCAGGCCAATCAGGGGCCCGGCCCTGGCGTCCTCACTGTCCCGTCCAGCCCCAACCTGCCTGCCGGAGAGCTCTCAAGGCGCCCCGGCCAGCCTCCCCTGAACCCCCAAAGCCCCCCAACTCCACAACTCTAGTATCTCCCTTCCACCACCTTTTTCTCCCCTCCCATCCTCCCCGGCAACTGTGCATTTATTAATTCATGAGGCACTAATTAGTTCTTTGTTTAATTTTGTGTTAAACAGACTGACCGGAATGATAACGACTTGCAGCGCCGTGTTGCCGTCCCCAACCGCCCCTGTTTTCTGACAACAAGGGAGCGCGGGAGACCGGAGTGCTGAACCCAAATCCCTCAGCAGTTGCACTTCATTAAGTCAAAATGTGACAAGAAGCTTAGAGAGCAACTTGCAGATCTGATCACACAGAACAATCGGGGAGGAAACTTTCCAGGAGTTGGCTGCGGGTGGAGGGGCAGGGCTGGGAGGGGCAGCCGCTCACACACGGGCCAGCGTGGAAGGGGGTCCCCTCCCTCGCCTGGCCCGGGGTCGCGTGGCCTGGCCAACAGTGTGGGGGGCTGGGATGCCAGGTGGATTCTGGAACCCCGGTGTGGGCCTAAGAAGTTCAGCCCAGTCTAGGATGGGCTCTGGCATCTTCTCCTGACTGTCCTCTCACCATGCCTCATGTCCAGTTCTGGCCAGTGTAAGTCAATGACCAGACACAAGCAGGGTTGGGCAGAGAACCAGGAACTTACTGTAGCTAAGGAAGGTTTCTGAGAGGCCGGGGGAGAGAAGAGTGGGAAACAGCAAGCAGGAGATGAGACTAGAAGACTACAGCTAGGTGCAACCTTTCCTGGCGAGGGAAAAAGTGACAGTCAAGAGCCAACATAACCACTGTCCGCCAGTCAGCTAACCCCCACTCACCCACCCACCTGCCCACATATCCACTCTCCCATTCATCCGTCCACCCATCCATCTGTCCATCCACCCACCTGCCCACCCATCCATCCATCCATCCAACCATCCATCCATCCATCCATCCATCCACCTGTCTGTCCATCCATCCGTCCATCTACCTGTCTGTCCATCCATCCATCCACCCATACACCCATCCTCCATCCATCCATCTATCCACCCGTCCTTCTGTCCATCCTCCATCCATCCACCCATTCATCCATCTATCTCCATCTCTCCATCATCTGTCCATCCACTCATCCATCTATCCTCCATCCATCCATCCATCATCCACCCATCCTCCCTTCCTCCCTCCATCCATCATCTGTCCATCCATCTGTCCGTCCATCTATCCGTCCATCGTCTGTCCGTCCGTCCGTCCACCCACCCATCCATCCGTCAGTCTGTCTATCCAATGGCCTGTATTCTACATACTCTGACCAGAAAACCGAGGGCCAGAAGGTGTAAGTTCTGTGCGAAGATACACAGCAAATCAGAGCCAGGACCGGGCGCCCGACTTCCAGGCCGTGGGCCTACAACAGGCAGCTGAGCCCGCGTCTCGCGCCCTGCTCCCCCTGTGCGCGTGGGGAGCAGGCTCCCAGCCGCCACCGCGGCACAGTGCGGTGGGCGGGCTCGAGCCCTGCTCCCGTCCGCCCGCTCCTACTCTCCAGAGATGCGGTCACTCTCGCCCAGTAACGGGAACAGGGAAGGGGCGGAGGAGCCCGAAGCACACAGACGGAGGCCAATAACGGCCCAGAGTTCTGCTGCCTCGCCCCACTGGCCGCCACGCCGTCCAGCTGGGCCCTGACCCTCTCTCCCGGCTGCGCAGCCGCCCACGGGCAGAGGGGCTGCGGTCAGCGGTGTCCGGGCTGCTCCCGCCGGTTCGGGAGCGCGGTGGTCTCTGCCCGAGCCTGGCAGCCCTGGGCTGGCTTCTGTTAATTTGCTGTCAGGCTGCCTAAGCAAACCAATTAAAACTAATCATTAATTATAAAAGAGAACGAGAAGAGTGGAAGAGAGGGGAGAGGTGAAGGCGGAGAGGGAAGGAGGGAGAGGGGGAGCGGGTCGAGGCCCACGGGCCTCCAGGAGCCCGACGGGGGGACCGCGGGCCTGGCCGCTGGGAGGGACCGGGGTCCCCTGGCTCACGAGGCGCTGGGGCAGAGGGGGCACTGGAGAGAAGTGAGGCCGTGCAGAGAGGGCTTCGGGGCAGCGCCAGGAGACAGGGCAGGGCGGGACGGTGCCAGGACCCACACCAGGGCGTGGAGGGGCCACGACCCCGAGGCCCTCGGCCGGAGTCACGGGTGGCGCGGAGCTCACTTCGGCCGCGGCCCGGCGGCCTGCTCCACACGGATGAGGTCCGGCGAATTATGCAGCACCGGGCCGCCCCCGGGCCTGACGCCCTACCTGCCCCCAGGGCTCTCAGGCCACGGAGGCCCAGCGCGGTGGCCGGCCCTGCCTCCTTCCCCACACACCCGCGCCGGGCCGGCCCTTTCACAGGGCTGAGGCCACGTCAGCCGCAGCCTGAGGAGCGGGCGGCACAGACAAGGGCCACTGTCATGGAAACGGGCTCTTTCCCCGAGAAATATTCTGTTTGGCCTCCTTCCTGCATTGAGGAGCTGTCACGGGCCCGAGTGAGCGTCCCACCACTCCGGGGCCAGGCGTGACAAAACCTATTTTCTGCCTCAAATTTGATTGATTAAAAAACTTTTTAGGAAAACCATGTTAAAAGAGTGAAAGCGAGAGCAAGAGCAAAAGAAGGAAGGAGAGAGGGAGAGAGGGGGGCGAAGAGAAGGACGGCGAGAGCAGAAAAGCTACCTGCCGAGGCCGGGGGAGCCAGGCTGCCCCCACGCACCCCCGCCACCTATGACACCCCAGGATGTGTCAGTGGGCAGGCCAAAGGGGTCCGAGACTTGCCCGCACCTGGTGGGACAGCGGGTGCTGGGGGAGGGGGTGGGTTCCCTGGCCCTGTCCCAGGGAAGCAGCAGACACCCCAAGTGGGCAGGGGACGGGGGTGGCCGTCCAGGGCTGAGCGGGCCTCTGGACTGGCCCTGGGGCGTTCCAAACAAGCCTGGCTGAGATTTGGCTGGATGGAGCAGTCTGTAGGGGCCCAGAGGAGGGTCCGACAGTTTGGGGCCAGAAAGGGGTTTTTCCCACCTTGTTCTCTTAAGCCCTGGCTCAGAAAACACTTTCATGAAATAAGTGAATACAGAAGCGGGGGGTGGGGGCAGCCGAGCCCCGTCCTGCCGCTGGCCAAGGCCTGCTGTCTCCACGTCCGTCTCAGGGCCGCTCGCTCATCGCCGCAGCCCCGGGCTCCTCTGTCAGGTGCTGCCCTGCGTGGTCCTCAGCCACACCCCCTCTTTTTTCCCCAGAAGCTGAGGCGGGCCTCGCCAGGGCCTTGGATGGCCTCCCCAGCCCCGAGCCCCTCCAGCAGGAGAAACTCCTCTGACCAACCACCGGAGGCCCCGGACCCGCCGGGGTGGGGCCATCCTCTCCCCAGGAAGGAAAGCAGGTCGGGGGCTGGATGTGCTCCCCCTGTCCGGGGCCTCAAAGGTGAGCAGGAGGAATGGTCTGGCCAGGGAATCAGCAAGAAGGTTCCCCCAGGCTCAGGGAGGGGTCCCCACCGCTCTGACCCTGCCTCTGCCAGCTCAGGCTCC